GTCGCTCATCTCGCCGGTGACCAAGGCGATCCTGGTGGCCCTGTTCATCTTCGCCATCCTGCTCATCCTGTACGTGATCCTCTGGTACATCTGCCGCGATGTGGACTGCGACCACGGCATCTGAGCGCCCCCCGCGCCCCCCGCGCCGGCCGGGGGTGGGGGCCCCGCGGCCCGGCGGCGGCGACCCCTGCCCGTGACCTTCAGGGGCGGACGGCGGAGCGGGTGAGTGCGCCCCCGGGGCCCGCGGAGCCGCAACTTCGCGGAGGGCGCGGGACCGTGTCCCCCCCCCCGACCCCCGGGGTGGGCGCTGCGCCCCGGACGCCCCCGCGAGGGCGCAGGACGCCGGGCGCTCCCGCCGTGGGGACGGCAACCTCCCGGGACCCCGGGCGCCCGGCACGCGCTGCCCAGTCCCCAGCCCTTTGCTTGCGGGCGCTGCGGGGGGACCCCGCGTGGAGGGCACCCCCACCTCCCGGAGCCCCCGCAGGGCCGTGCAACGCACAGCCCTCAGCCGTCCACCGCACACGGGCACCTCAGCGGCGCGCCGTTGGAAACAGGGGTGAAGGGTGGCGCGCCCTCCTCACAGCCGCAGGCGCCCCAAGAGGCGCAAAAGCTAAGGGGGGTGGTGGGCTTCACCCTCCCGGGGCCACAGAGGAGAGGGCCACACGCGACAAGAAGCAAGCTATGCTTTCCACCAAGTGTGCCAGACAAGTTTGTGACTGAAATGAAAATCGTGTTCGCTAGACAGATGCCTCCCTCTGAAGGTCCCGGTGCAGAGAACCCGCGTGGAAAAACACGCAGTCTAAACAGGCTGCCGAGGTGCGTCTGCAGACAGCTGGGATGCCCTCCTTCCGTAACCAGGGCAGGCGGGGATGTCTGGGTGCCCGCTGTCCTGGGGGAGCCTGTCTGCCTCCGGTGGCGCCCGGCCCTGCGTTGTGCCATCCGTCCACATCCCTTGGTTCCTCTCCCTGTATTTTCGCCGCCAGCCTTTTGAGGGTTAAGGAAACTGAAACAGCAAGGCTGCTTGTGCCCGGGAATCTTGAAGAGCTCAAGGGGGCTGAAGCTGTGTGATTTGGGGGTGATTAGGATTGGCACGCCCGCGCGTGTGTGTGTGTGTGTCAGTGTGTGTGTTTTCTCCTCTGGTTAAAATTGGGGATGAGGCAGTGATACTGCATCATGTCCCCAGGATCCAGTGTGTGAGGAACAGGACGGGAGGCCCATTTTTAAAACAATGAGCATTATTTGAGATCATTCAGGGGCATGTGTGGAGCCCCCCCCTTTCATATTCCCCAGTGGAAATGCATTTTGAAGGTGTTCTTAACGAGGCAGATGAATGTTCTCCAGAGATGTAGAGGCCCAGCCCCCGCCGTCCACCTCCGCAGCCCACCCTCCCCCGGGACCAAAAACCTAAGATTTACCCAGCTCGCTTCTAAAAACAGGAAGCCCTCTGACACCCAGAATGGGCAGATATGTCTGCTCCGTTGCCAAAGCACCGTGCTCCAGGTACCAGGTGAAGCCAGCCGAGCAGACAGAGGGTGAAAGCTTCCGATCAGGCTCCGCAAACATGCTGCCTTTCCCAGTGTTCCCACATAGGACACAAGGCCACCAAGAGGTGTCACGTCCGCATGTCACACACACACACACACACACACACACACACACACACACACACATGGCACGTGAATCAGAACCCAAAAGTATGCCAAGCACGTTTCCTCTGGGCTAGTCACGGAGGAAAAAGGAGGCACTGACTCCCAAGGGCAGGAAATGGTGACATGGGCCTTGGTCCCTCGTGGGCCACGTCAGGGAGGGACGGGAAAAGAAAGGAACATAGTGTAGGGTGGCATCGGTGACAGCACCCAGGACGTGAGGCGGTGGCCGGGGGGTCGGTCCCCACAGCCCGCTATGCTAGCTGTGCACACAGGCGCTGAGACCCCCTTCCAACCTGGTGGTGTCTTTGATTGTCCCTGGTCAGCGTCCCCCTTGGTCTCTCTGTCACACACCACTTCAATCCCAGTAGAGTGGTGTGTGTTCCGTCCCCCAGAGCACGCCTTGTTCTCCATCCATCCCTTGGGAGGCACCCACATGCCCACTGGTGGCTGGAAACCATCCCATCCACGGTCCCTACTCCACAGCCAGCATTGCCACGTCTGCCGGAAGGTTCACCACCAAAGCAGAACAAAACCTCGGGGCCACAGGGCCGCGCGGGTATGCATTTCAGTCAACGGACGCGTTTTCCGTAGGACAGTTTCCCCCCTGACAGACGGCGCCCACGTCCACCCGGTTGGAGCCAGACACTTCCTGTAGACAAAAGCAAACGGCAGCCCTCCTGCCTGCAAAGCCTTCTGGGACCTACAAGAGACCAAGTTACTGTCCTGGGAAGAGCTCAGGGCACCATGACACCCCCTTTGAAGGCACCGAACCGAGGCTGGGAGCGATGGCTTCAGGGCCAAGGTCGTAGAGCCGGCTAGTGCAGAGTCCTCCCTGGCGAATGACAGGGTCCCACGGGAAGCCCCTGGCTGGAGATGGGGCACGTTTCTCTGACACGTGAGGCCTTTTTCTGCTGCGGTGACGTGACAGCGGGGTGCCCCTGGCACCCTCCTCAGCGCACCCTCCGATCGGAGGCAGCCAGCCGTTAGGTCATGGTGGCTACGTGGGCCTTTCACAGCTCCAGAAAAGAGACAGCACCTCAGCACCCAAACAGTGTCACCCACTGAGATGCAGCGTCTGCAGTCTAGCCGGAGGTGCCCTGGGGCAAGGTACCAGGAAAATCTAAAAAAGCTGCAAAAAGTGTGACGAGACAGAAATATCTGTCCTGTCACCTCGATTTCCTACGGGCAAGCCACAGAGGCCCGCGTGGCCTGGGTTGCTGCCCGAACAGCCCTGCCTTCTCCAGGAATCGCTCTTGTATCTGATAGGTGCACAGCGTGCTACGCAGGCCAGGCACAGAGTTAAAGTGATTTTATGTACGTTGCATTTGGAGCCTGCGGACGGCAACCGGACCGTGATTATTACCCCAATTATACAGGACAGAAAAATGAGGCTGAGACGGACAGGTTACGTAACGTTCCCCAGATTGCAAGGAAATTGATAGTCCCCGAGCTCTCGCCCCTGCGTGCACGTGCGTGTGTGTGGCGCGTGTGTGTGCTCACGCACGTCACATCTCACATCTCTTGCATTTTCATTCAAAAAAGTTTTAAATTGTATTTCTCGTATTGGCTCTCCATCAGGGTTGAGCAATCGTGTTTTGCTTAGCTACTATATACTAAGCAAGTTTTTAGAACATATGTTTATATGTTAAATATTCAATAAGTTTTTTTATGGGTTACAAAGTAACTGCCATATATATACATACACACACACACACACACACACACGCACGCACACACGCAGGATTCAATTGGGAAAAAGAAAACTTCAGACCGCTTTCTTTCTTAATAGTGACCATTCTCCATGCAGACAGAAACCAAAAATCAATGCAAGAGGTTTTTTTCCGTGTTTTGGAAGCTCTCTTGTATTCCCAGTGCGAGGAAACAACGACCTTAGCTCAGCATCAGTAATATACGTTGTATCTCTGAAACTGCCAATGTGTTGAACAGCACAGGCCTCAGCTTCCGTGGAAGCCTCGCGGGTCCCTGTGAGGACGTGTGACGTGCACAGAGCCCCCCGAGGAACAGAAGCAGCACACGAGGGACGCAGGGCCAGGGGACGTGGCTACACTTAGGAGCCAGGCTGCGTGTCAGTCGGATCAGACAGAACTTACTAGAACTTATAATTAAGCAGAACAGGAACAGCCTGGCCCAGAAGCGACCGGCGTGGCGTGCTCACGCGCTGGGCGCTTTGGTTTTGCTCAGGAGACATGTGTAAGCTGGGGGGGGGGGGGGGTTGGGGGACGGGCAGGGGGCGAAGAAGAAAGTGTGGGTCCCAGAGCGTCAGCCTCAGCGATGAGCTGGGCCACGGAGCTGGCCAACGCTGCGCCCCTGAAAAACCACCTTCTTTGGCAGAAGCAAACATTTTAAAATTCAGGATAAGTGACGCTGGGTGAGTGGGGGGCGGGGAAAGAATAGGGTTGGTCTTATTCTTGCTTCTAAAGCTGTTTCCAGTTTGTTTGTTAAAAAAAAAAAAGGAGGCAGAGTATGTGCCCAGAGTCTTAGCCGTTGGCTCGTGACCCCAGAATGAAAGGGGACACAGCTGTGGCTTTGGGCCGGGATGGAGCCGGGGCTGTTGGGCTGTGACACAGACGACATGGAGGGCATGATAGGAAGAGGGGCTGCTAGCTTGCCTGTCCCCGTGTCCCCTGTGTCCCCGTGTCCCCGTGTCTGTACAGCCCGCACCGGCACGGAGAATAAAACAGCTCATCCCCAGAGGAACATAATTACGTGAAACGAACTCAACACCTTCTGTGCCGTCTGACTCACTCCATTTCTAAAAAGATCGTGGAAGCTCTTCCGCCCCCTCCTCCTCACAGATTGGGTCTAGCGGCAGGAAACGTGTAAATAAAAGGCAACGGGGATGGAATACAGAGTGTGACCTTGTGCTGCAAGGGGACTTCCCGCAGAGGGGACTTCCGGGGGCGGAGGGGGGCGTGTGTCCCCCACGGGGGTGTCCCCCATGTGCCTTGTCTGGCAGATGTCTGTGCCTCCTTCCTGGTGGCATCGTCTTTCCAGTAATGCCAGTCCCAATGGGGACTCCTGGTGTCTTCCCGGCCGAGCCCGGGCTGTTTGCAGCCTAGCCGGGAACGGCATCAGAAGCCAAGTTGATCAACGTGGCTTGTAACTCACAACAGCGTGAACGTTAAGCACGTGCGGGCTGGGCAGGTGCTGTGAGGCAGCTCCAGGAATGTTCTGGACACAGTGAGGCGCCAACAGCAGCGGGCGGCCTCCAGGAGTGACAGGTCCGACCCCCTCGCGCAGGAAAGACCAGGGGCTGCTTGCAGGTCCCCTTGTTGTCACGTGCCGTGGGACCCGACGACACCGCCCATGCCTCCTGCCTTGTCCTGTCTCTGAGCCGTCACCACCTGTGCACGGGTGGCGTTTGCACAACTACGGTGACCGAAACCCTACCTAGGTGGACCTGTCACCTGGGGTTATCACGGGAGGGACATCGGGAGAAATGGGCTGACGTATGAGAAAAGGGGAACTGTGTCCCTGAAGTGTGCCCGCTCGGGGTGCTGCCAACACCCCACGACTCCCCAGTGCTACATTGTTACCGTGTTTGTGAGATGT